GGATACAAAAATACAGATTTAAGGGGTACATGCACCCCGATATTTATAGCAGTGTTATGAACAATAGTCAAATTATGGAAAGAGCCCAAATGGCTGTCTACTGATGAGTGGATACAGAAGATATCAACACACACACACACACACACACACACACACACACACACACACGCACACAGGAATATTCATCAATCATCAAAAAGGATGAAATCTTGCCATTTGCAACTACATGGATGGAACTAGAATGTATTATGCTCAGTGAAATAAGTCGGTCAGGGGAAGAGAAATACTATATGATCTCATTCATATGTGGAATTTAAGTAAGAAATAAGATGAATATATGGGAAGGAGGAAAAGGGGGAAAAAAAAAAAGGAGAGAGGGAAACAAGCCAGCAGTGACTCTTAACAATAGAGAACAAAGCGAGGGTTGATGGATGGGTGAACTCAGTGAGTGATGGGTATTTAAAGAGGGCATTTCTTGTGATGAGGACTGGTTTGTTTGTTCGTTTGTTTTTTAAAATTTTATTTATTTATTTGACAGAGAGCACAGTAGGCAGAGAGACAAGCAGAGAGAGAGGAGGAAGCAGGCTCCCCACTGAGCAGAGAGCCCGATGTGGGGCTCCATCCCAGGACCCTGGGATCATGACCTGAGCCAAAGGCAGAGGCTTCAACCCACTGAGCCACCCATGCGCACCTAGCACTGGTTTTATGAAGTGATAAATCACTAAATTCTACTCCAGAAATCAATATTGCGCTCTATGTTAACTAAAACTTAAATCTAAAAAATAAATAAAAATTAAAAATCAATATACTGAAAACCATTGAATTTTACTCTTAAAATGGGTGAGTTTTATGGTATGTGAATTATATCTCAATAAAGCTGTTTCAGAAAACCTCAACAAATTCCATATACTATTATGTGGAAGAGGGAAGTCTTTGAAAAGATGAGTAAAGACAGGATCCAGAATACAAGTGGAGGAACTGGCCTTTGAAAGAGGAAGAATATTAAAAAAAAAAAAAAAGAGGAGAGATATTACCATTATGCTATATTTGTAAAAGTAGTGGTGTAGTGGTAGCAGCATGGGCTTTGTGCTTAGAAGGATCTCACATTTCATTTAATGCTCTGCTGTTGCCCTGACATTTTTAATAGTTTTCTTAAACAAGAGGCCCCACATTTTTAGTTTGTACCAGGTCCCCCAAATTGAGTCCCCCCAATTGAGTCCCGAAATCTTTTGATTTCTTCTGTTGTTGTTGGGCAATGTTGTTGGGTAATGTTGGGTAATGTCAGCTGAGAATGGAAGGGATTATTTCACTCTCATCTCAGAATCCAGATAAATGTAGAAATATTTCCAGTCTGTGGTTTTTCCTTTTGAGTTTGTGGTGACTTTGATATGTCCAGCGCTTAGTTGCAGTGGAGGTACGGAAGATGTTGATGTCATCTAGGAGTCATCTAGGGTTGGGGGTTTGTCAGACATCTGTGATAGAAGGAGAAAGCGTTAATGACAATGATGGAAGGTGATAGATGAGGGAGGAATGAAAGGAGAAGGATAATGTATGAAGATAAGTGGTAGGATCAGTAAGTTGGAGATTTCATTGAGGGAGGAGTTTATATCATGAAGATAATTGAACATGGGTTGGAAGGATATAAGAAACTATTCAAATTGGCAATTCTCTAATTTCTGTTGATGGTAAGAGCTGTGTTTGATTTATGTACTGACTAAAATGCCATGAGGGGAAAAGGTTATTGAGAATGCAGAGGTCAAGCAACTGGGAGGCCAGTTGGTTAGATGGATTATCAATTTGTGTGATGAAATTGCTGAAAATAATATATGAGGGAAATGGATCGGTAGATGCCAGTAAGTACCTTGCTCTTTGCTGCATACCCTTGTTCTTTTCTTGGCTTAGAATGAACCTTATAGCTCCTTGGTTTCCTTCCTTCCTTCCCCTCCCCTCCCTCTACCTTCTCTTTATCCTCTAAGCCATAACTCAAAATACTGTCATTCTTTCAAGACTCAACTCAAATTGTACCTCCTCAGTTATGTTGAATATATGTAAACTGGGAATACTATTATAAATACATCTCAGAAGCACTGGACAAGTTACATAGGACAAGCAGTTACTCAGCAGTCTGCAGTTTTAGTCAGGGATTAATTGGTAAAGCAACACACTTTTTTGTAGTTGTAGCTTCCTGATGTCTTAATACTTTTGGTTTCTTAAATGAAGATTATTACATAATAAATACATTTATATAAATGTATTTGACATTTTCTCTAAAATTTAGTTTTAACCATTGGCAGATGGACAGATCTCATTACATATTTTTTACTGAACACTGTTTGGGAGATGTTACCTTAAATGTGGTAGGGAAATTTTTTGAGTTGTGTGTATTTTAAGCTGTTTTGTCTTTTAATAGATTTTATTTTTTAATACATAGAAAACTTTACTTTTTTTAACAAAAGTATCTTTAACTTGAAAACTTTTTCAAGTTGAGAGAATAACAATAGAATTATCTATCTATAAATTTATATGTATATATGATTGATGTATATACCCTATTTTAATCATAATACTTACAACATATTTCTATCACAATAAAATATCTGAGAAGTGCTACAAATGTTTTTATAGTACTATGAAGTGTATTTCATGAATATGAATTTGTTTCAGCCAGAAAATGATCCTGAACCTAGAAATACATATTTTCAAACAAAGTTAAGGTCTCATCATGTAAAAATCAAGGTTCCTTCAAGTAGATCAATTACCAAAGTTCCATTGTCTCATCTCCTGGAACCTGCATTGGTAAGCCCTGATCTTCTATTAAATAATTCTTGAAAAGCATATACCAAGGAAATGTACTTATTGGAAAGATTTAGATATGCCTAACTTCTTAACAAATCTAGGGGAAAAAATGCAGAGAGCTTTATGTTTACAACTATACACAGATTAAAAAAATAGATTGTCAGTTAACAATTGTGTGTCTTGGGACCACTGGGAAGCAGATATTCAAGCAGAATTGAGTTCAAGTGGTGTACTGAAAGGGGTAATACCTGAGGAAGGAGCAGGGAGAAAGCTGCATTGGGCAGGAATAGTCTCAGCCCTCAATGCCAAAAGCTCTCCCATTTCAAGGTCTGGAGCAAAGATTATCCATTACAGGATTCTTACGTTGCTTCCTATGCTCAAACCTTGGCTGAGGGTTGCCTGAGAAGATGATGGGCTCAACCTGAAAGCTGAAGCAGATTCCAGAGAAGTTGCAATGGGCCAGGGGGTGGCTGTCACCTAACTGCACTCCTTGCAGTGGAACAGCAGTTTCTTTGTTCAGGGAGATCTGCCCAGAGCACCTCCATGGCAGCCACAATGATAAATAATAACTGTCACGGAGTATCTCCTACTCTACAGGCTCTCTTTACATGTATTCTTTGTAACTGTTGTACAGCAATCCTTAGGAGTAGAATAATCCCTGTTGTTCAGATGAAGAGAAGATAAAATAGCTAATGAATTAGAGAGCTGACATATTCAGTGTGCCAGGGAAATATACCCATAAAATTTTTTTGATAGAAAATTTCCTAGTAAATGATCCCATATTACATCTTGAACAACTAGTTTAAGAAATGTTAAGCCAGAGGGGCACCTGGGTGGCTCAGTGGGTTAAAGCCTCTGCCTTCGGCTCAGGTCGTGATCTCAGGGTCCTGGGATCGAGCCCCGCATCGGGCTCTCTGCTCAGCGGGAAGCCTGCTTCCTCCTCTCTCTCTGCCTGCTTCTCTCCCTACTTGTGATCTCCGTCTGTCAAATAAATAAATAAAATCTTAAAAAAAAAAAAAAAGAAATGTTAAGCCAGAAAGGAAAGGAAGAATGAAAAAAATGAGGAAAGAAAGAAGAAAGAAACCTAACATAAACTTTCCTGTGATGTTCAATTTCCAACTCTGGGTTCGTGTTCCAAAGTTGGCAGCATATAATAAACACCTATTCAAAGAGATTTATCAGAGGGACTGATTGTTTCATGGAATCCCAAAGTTGAAAAGATAGCTGACTGCTAGAAATAAAGTTATCTGTCTTCTCTCTTTTTGAATAATTGTGTCACTCTGTTTTACTGCTCTCCTTCTCTTTTTCCCTGGTTTTTGTCTCTTCGACTCCAGCTCTTTATTCTTTGTCTCTGCTTTGATCTCTCTCCATCTGCCCTTCTCTGTCTCTGACTCTGTTTCTCTGTCATTTCCTTTCTGTTCATAGTCTGTTGGTCTCCATCTTCTCCATCTTTCTTCTCCCTCCCTCTCTCTTCTTAGTGTTCCTCTCTTTTGTCTCTCATCCTCTCTCTCTTCCTTTCTTTTTCCCTCACCCACCTCATCTCTCCTCCTTTTCCCTCTCCCATCCCTCCCTTTCTCTCTTAACTTTTAGGACTCTCACCCTGTCTTTCTCTTGCTCTCTCACTCTTTCTTGATTTGTCCACCTGTCCAATATCTGTCTGCCTCTTTGCATATTCAGGAAATAGAAAATGAGTCTTTATAATTTCTCTAACTTTGATATTAAATAAATGGAAGTATGTATATGTATTTAAATGTATGTATTTTAAACCAATTATCCTTATTACATACATGTTTAACAGCTTCACGAAGAACTTATAATCCCTTTCCATGAAAAGTACAATAATATACTAGCAATTAAACAAATGCTAAAGGTAAAATAATTTTCTTAGCAGTAAAAAAGATAATTAAACACCATTTCCTAGTTCAAAACTTTAATTAGCTTTTCTTCCTAAATTAAGAGTGATTTCACCCAAAGTATTCTTGTAGTATTCTTGTGCCATGCAGAACTCTCAGTTCCTTGACCTAGCTTAAGCCAGAAAATTCTTTAGTTACTTGTCTAGTGGTTTAAATTTAATTAGCACATTAAAGTTTTATTAGTATGACACTTTATGATCTAGTCTACTAATTTGATATTGTGTTTTTACTGTATTAAATTAGTTTATTTATTTATGCTATTCAATCTCCTATTTCACAAAACACTGATAGACAACAAATTCTAGTATTCCTGATAAGAAAAGCAGAGGCCTCTTAACAAGTACACCATCTTCACAAACTGCTGGTTTAGTGGTAAGTATTAGCATTTGTCACTTTTAGTATCTATGTTTTGGTTCCCCCTCTTCCCTGTTATTCTGTTTCTGTCACACCAGGGAAATATTCTATTTAGGGAATAATGTCTATTTTTCTGTTGTATAGACTTGCTTTCGCTGGATGTACTCTATATACTGCTCTACATAAAAGAAAAATTAGAGGGGCACCTGGGTGGCTCAGTGGATTAAAGCCTCTGCCTTTGGCTCGGGTCATGATCCCAGGGTCCTGGGATTGAGCCCCTAGTTGGGCTCTCTGCTCCGCGGGGAGCCTGCTTCCTCCTCCTCTCTCTCTCTCTGCCTGCCTCTCTGCCTGCTTGTGATCTCTGTCAAGTAAGTAAATTTAAAAAAATTAGAATACTACAGCACCAACCAGGGTTTTCTTTTGTTTTGTTGTTGTTGTTGTTGTTGTTTGTTTTTTATTGTGGCACAATGTAACATAATGTTTAACATTTTTAACAATTTTTTTTGTTTGTTTGTTCGGTTTTTTTTTTGGAGAGAGACAGCATACAAGCAGGGTGTGGGAGGGGCAGAGAGCAAGAGAGAAAGAGAATCTTAAGCAGGCTCCACTCCCAGTGCAAAGCCAAACTTGGAGCTCTATTTCACAACCCTGAGATCATGACCTGAGCCAAAATCAAGAGTGGGACACTTAACTGACTGAGCTACCCAGTTCTAAAATTTACCATTTTATCCCTTTTTAACTGTATAGTTCAAGTACATTCACATGTTGTGCAACCATTACTTTTTTTAATGCAGATTTTCTTGCAAAGTTTTTCTTCTTGCAAAATTGAAACTCCATACATTAAACACTAAGTACCCATTTCTCCATCCCTCACTCCCTCTCAACCACGATTCTACCTTCCCCCTCTGAATTTGACTGCTCTATATACTTCATATAAGTGGAATCATACAGTATTTGTCCTTTTGTGACAGATTTCATTTAACATAGTGTTTCATCCATGTTGTAGCATATGTCAACTTTTTTCCTTTCTAGAGGCTGAATATATTCCATTGTATGTATATACCACATTTTGTTTATCTTTTCATCGGTCTGTGGACATTTGGGTTACTTCCAACTTTTGGCCAGTGTGAATAATGCTGCTTTGAACATGAGTGTTCAAATATTTCTTTTCTGTCTCTGTTTTCAGTTCTTCTGGTATACACTTTAAAGTGGAATTGCTGGATCAAATGGTAATTCTCATTTTTAACTTTTTGAGGAACTGACATACTGTTTTCCATAACAGCTGCTCTATTTTAAAGTCCCAGTAACAATGCACAATGGTTCCAATTTCTCTACATCCTTGCCAACACTTGTTATTTTCTATGTGTTTTTCAAAATAATCGCCATCCTCATGGGTGTGAGATGATATCTCATTGTGGTTTTAATTTGTATTTCCCTTATGGCTAGTGATGTTGAGCTTCTTTTCACATGCTTATTGGCCCTATTATCTTCTTTTAATAGATGTCTGTTCAAGTCTATTGCCCATTTCTTAATCAGCTTATTTATTTGTTGTTGAGTTATAAGAGTTTGTTTGTGTTTTTTTTTTTTCATGTATTCTCTATTTTAACCCCTTGTCAGATATATGGTTGGCAAATATTTTCTCTCATTCTATGGGTTACCTTTTCATTCTGTTGATAGTATTCTTTGAAGCACAAAAGCTTTAATTTTTATCTAGTCCAATTTATCTGTTTTTTTCCTTTTCCTGTGCTTTTGGTGTCATAGCTGAGAAATTATTGCAAAATTCAATGTTATTAAATTTTACCCCTCTGTTTTCTTCTAAGAGTCTTATAATTTGGCTCTCATCCAACCAGAGTTCTTCTTAGGCTCAACTAAACAATAGAAATACAACTTACAAGCAGGGCAGAAACAGGTGTTCCCCTTCAGTGGGATCAGTCTTCACAGAAGTCTATGGAGCAGTTGACTTAGCAGTTTGGGTACAGCTCAGACACAAGTAGATGAGATCCATATCTTTGTAATACCACACAGACATAGCTTCCAGTGTCCCCACTAGAGACATGCCAAATTACAAGAGTCAGGGAAATCCAAACTATGGTGCTTTTCATAAGGTTTATTTACATATAGTGCATTTATCATTTATTCATAGTGCAGTTATAGTTCTTCCTAGTCCAGATGCAATTTATCAATCAGACATCATTTTTACCATTAGCAATGTTGACATTGTTACTTTATCAGGTTCCATTAGGAACTGAGCATGAAAATTAAGCGAAGATCAGTTTTTCAAGCTGGGATGAAGGGTCCTTTATAGGTTTACTTATTCTGGCTATTTCATTTAAATGGAATCATATAATATGTGGCCTTTTGTGTCTGGCTTCTTTCACTTAACATAATGTTTTCTAAGTTCATCCATTTTATAACATACACTTTCTTCCTTACTTATGACTGAATGATATCCCATGGTAAGGATATACTACATTTTGTTTACTAATTTGTCAGTTTGGGGACATTTGAAAAATAATATTGCTATGAACGTTCACGTACAAGTTTTTATGTGAATATGTGCTTTCAGTTGTATTTTGTTTATGCTTAGAAGAGGAAGTAGAATTGCTGAGTCACATGGTAACTTATGTTTAACACTTTTTTTGTAGTGGGCTTTTTAAAACAGCTTTATTGAGGTATAATTAACATACCATACAATTCACCTATTTAGAGTGTGAAATGCAGTGTTTTTTTAGTATATTCACAGGTATGTGTAATCATCACCACAGTCAATTTTAGAATCTTTTTATCACCTCAGAAAGAAACTCCGTACTTTTTCCCAAGGAAATGCTTCTAATGAGATAACATTTCACCTTTAATTATGTAAAAAGAATTGTTTCTGCCACATTTGACATCTATAAGAGTAATATTTTTTTATAGATTGATTTGTCCTCAGTGCCAAAAACATCTTTTGAAGAACTATTTCCAAATGTCAGCAATTATGTTAATTCAAATGAAATTGTTCCTGTGTCAAATTTGCAAGAATGCTCTTCAAATGAGGTTAGTATTTTCCATTTTTTCTTCAATTATTGAAATTAATACTGTTATATTGGATACTTTGTTTATGAGATACTTTAAGAAATCTGTAACTCATTTGAGGCTAACATCATCCACATGAGGAGGCAGCTATCAGTTACAATTCTAAATAAAGAATGTTAGGCTGCCAGGGCCAGAACTCTACATTGTGAGGGCCTGAGGCTATTAAATTCTGAACTAGAGGAAACACTGTTAGCCTGCTTTGATCCATAGCTCTGTTTTCATCTGTACATATAAATTAATAATCACCAATTTCATTTTGTTAGGATGAATACACGGAAGTACTATGCTCCTTTGAAAAAGAAGACATAAAATTCATAAAACTAAGAGCCATGGGTGTGGGAATAGAGCTAGAGGATGAGCAGAAAAAGAGAGTACAGAAAGTGGGGTGGGGAGAAAGAAAGAGCCAGAAAGAAGGGACATGGGAGCAGACGGAGAGACAGAAGGACAGAGTGGGAGAAAGAGGCAGAGAGAAAAAGACATAAAAAGACAAAACTCAAGGGATATGTAGTGCTTCATTGTAGCTAGGCCTTTTCAGTGTGACTCTGTGATGAGGGTGGGAATCTGGATGGTGAGAGAAAGCTGGAGATGAGACTGTAAAGATAAACAAGGCCAAGATCTCAAAGGGTCTTTAATCCATATTAAGTAATTTGTATCTCTTTCCTGAGAGGAGCCAATAAAGAATTCTGAACAAGGGATGATATCATATGTCTTTCTGGCTCCAGAGGTGGAGAACAGATTATAAAAAGCTAAGACTAGAGATAGTTAGAGGGATAATTTCCTGGGAGAGAGAGAAAGAAAATGTAGGTAAGAGGTTGAAGGGAAGTAAAAATAGATTGAAGTAAGGAAGAAGTTGAGAAACACAAGATTATAGCCCATTATTGAGAGGCCAGGTGAAACTGGAAACTATTACCTCTCTTAAAAAGCATCTTTATTGAGGAATAATTTATATGCAATAAACTGCACATATTTAAAGTGTATAATTTGAAAATTTTCACCTATGTATGCAACTGTGAAACCACCAACACAGTCTAGATCATGAGAATATCTGTCAACCCAAAAGTTTCTTCCTCCTGTTTTATATTTTTTTCCTTCCTGCCCCTGTCACCCAAGCAACTACTGATCTAGTTACTGTAATTATAGTTTGGTTTACATTTTCTAAAGTTTTGGGGTCATTCAAGTGAGAGAGAGAGAGAATTTTTGGTCTGGTGTCTTTAACTCAGCGTAGTTATTTTTGAGACTCATTCATGTTGCTGAGTATATCAATACTTTGGTCATTTTTACTGCTAAGTAGTATTCCATTTATGGTACACAAAAGTTTATCCTTTTACCCATTTATGGACATTTGATCGTTTAGCTATTAGGAACATTCATGTACAAGTATTTGTATTACAAAGATTCTCTCTTTGATTGAACTTTAGTTAGGCTCTTCTGAGCCCTCTTCTCAACTAGGTCTTGTGTACATCCTTGCTGAGTATAGTTCTAGCAAGAATTTTCTCCCACCCTTGATATCTATTTCCCACCCTTGATCTGATCTGATTTGATCTGGCCTGCCTTTGACACTCTGGCCTCTTAGGTCTAATTGGGTTCCTGGATCTAGTTTCAAAGTGTGTGTATGTGTGTGTATAGGAGAGTTGCCCACACCTCCAACAGGCAATACTTCTGATATCAGCTGGGTGTCCTAGAATTCAATCCAATTTTGCACTATCTACCTGAAGATAGCTTTAGATTCCACAGGTAAAGGGCTTAGTTCCACAAAACCACCCTCTACTTGAGATGCCACTTGCCAGTCTAAGTTGTTAACTGTGCTTCTGACCAACTACCTATAAATCAGAAGTTCCCATGACCCCTCTCCTTGGATTTTATTAACTTACTGGAGAAGCTTACAAAAGTTAAAGAAACATTTTACTTACTTGATTACTGGTATATTGTAAAAGAATATAACTCAGGTATAGCCACGTGGAAGAAATGCATAGGGCAAGGTATGGGGAAAGGGCAAGGAGCTATACATGGATCGTACATACATATATACATTGTATGTTGTGCAGTTGAGGCTGGTGCTCCTTCTTGGGCAGAGATTTTAGTATTATGATAAGGTAAAGGTAACTGTCATTACGTGGGTCATTCCATAGTTTATCTGTACAGGCATAAATCAGGGAAGAGGGAGATGCTCAAACTGGTCTGGGGGTCTGAACCTTGGGAGCTTTTCCTTCAGGTAGTCATTATTTCTTGAGAGGTAGTTTGGTTCCCATTACAGGATGCGAGGTCTTTGCCTGGGTTAAGAGATAAACTGGAAGAAAGAGCTAAAGGGGAAATGTGGGACAAAGGTTGGTGGCTACAAGCAGGTGAGCAGTAAAGGTAAGGTCTTGGAATATAGCCGGTAACAGCTTCATTACATAGGTATGTTTGATTAAATCATTGGCCATTGGCAACCGAGTAAACCTCTATCTCCTCTCCCCTACCTGGAGGTTATGGCACAGGCCTGATCCAACCCTGTAATCCAGAATTCGTTCCCCTGGCAAGGAGCTCCCTTCCTTAGGTGCATTCCTAAAGTTTTATCACATTAACAAAAACACCCTTATGGTTCTTATCACTTAGGAAATTCCAAGGGTTTTAGGAGTCTCATGCTAACAATGGGGATGAAAAACAGATACTTCTTATTGAAAATCTCAATATCAGGGCACCTTGGTGGCTTAGTCAGTTGACTGGTTGACTCTCGATTTCAGCTTGGGTTCATGATCTCAGAGTCCTGAGATCAAGCCCCGCATCGGGCTCGTGCTCAGCCCGGAGTCTGCTGGAAATTTTCTCTTTCTCTCCCTTTACCTCTGCCCCTCCCCTGGCTCATGTTCTCGCTCTCTCTCTCAAACAAATATAGATGAATAAACCTTAAAAAAAATTACTATATCACAAGGTCAATTTAATAAGAATCTCTTTGCACTTGATGTCTCCTTCCGTAATTTTTCAATAACTGACACCCATTCTGCTGATCAGCTGTGCATCCCTGGCTATATTTGCTATATTTGGATTTGAGCCAAATTTCTCTCCTCTATTTCAATACCTTATCATGTGTCTTTTTGTGTGTGTGAATAAAGAAAGGTTTCTTTTTTTTTAATTTAAGATTTAAAATTCAATTAGCCAACATATAGTGTATCTTTGTTTTAAAAGTATGGTTGATATACAGTGTTACATTAGTTTCATCTGTACAATGTGTGAGTGAACCCTATTACAATAATCTTGAATAAAAATCTTACTGTAATACTAATTATCAGAATAATTTCTTCTTTAACTGTAAGGTTATATATTTCCTTTCCTGTTGGGTAAGTACCTAAGAAATTTCCAAACTGTTTTCCAAAGTGGTGGTACCATTTTACATTTCCACCAACAATGTTTGAGACTTGTAGTTTCTCTACATCTACATTTCATCTTCATTTAGTCCTGTCACACTTATAATCTTAACCTTTAGTTAATTTAATCTTAACCATTAGTACAGTCTTTTAATCTTAACCTTCCCAGTTAGTATGAAGTGATATCTTACTCTGGTTTTAATTTGCATTTCCCTAATGACCAATAATGTTGATCACATTTTCATGTGTTTATTTGCCATCTATGTATTTATTTTGGTGACATACCTGTTCATATCTTTTGCACATTAAGAAAATTGTTTATTTTCTTATTGTAGAATTTTGAGAGTTTTTTATATATTCTTGATGCAAATCCTTTATCAGATATATATACTTTGAAAGATATTATCCCAGTCCATACCTTTTTTTTTTATCCACTCCACTGCCTTTTTTAAAACATGAAAAAAATGCTTTATTTATCTTACATATCATAAAATTCACCCATTTCAAGTTTACAATTCTGTAATTCTTAGTAAGTTTATGGAATAGTACAGTAATTACCTATATCAGTTTTAGAACATTTTCCAAATCCTTCACACTTATTTACAGTTAAGCCCTGTTCTCATGCCTAGCCCCAGGCAAATACTAGTCTACTTTCTGTCTCTAGAGTAACTTTTCCTGGACATTTGTTATAAATGGAATCATAAAGTCTGTAGTTTCTTACAAAATGGTGTCACTTAAAGAACATACATTTTTAATTTTGATGAAGTCCAACTTGTCAGTTTTTTATTTATTTTTCTCATGGGTATGCTTTTGTTGTCATATCTAAGAAATCTTTGCCTAACCCAGGGTCACAAAGATTTTCTCCTACGTTTTCTTCCAGAAGTTTTAAAAATTTACACTAATAACTGTGAGTTAATTTTTTACTTTTGGTGTGAAGTATGGATTCCAGTGTATTTATTTATTTCCATACAGACATTCAATTATTCTAGCAACATTTGTTGAGGGTTATTCTTTCTCCACTCTATTGCTTTTCCACCTTTGTTGAAAAAAGGTAATCCATGTATTTGTACAAGCTTGTATAAGGTTTTACTGTTGTCTATATTTGTGCAAGTACCAAACAGTATCGAATAAGGAAGCACTATAATAATTCTTGAAATTAGTTAAGGTTAGCCTCTAACTTTGTTTTTCTTTTTCATTTGTTTTGGTTATTCTAGGTCCTTTGCATTTCTATATGAATTTTAGAATCAGCTTGTTGATTTCTACCAAAAAAAAAAAATCCTGATGGAATTTTGATTAGGATTGCATTGTATCTACAGCTTAATTTGGGAATAATTGATATCATGACAATATTGAGTCTTCCAACCCAAACACAATGTATAGCTATCCATTTTTTGGCTCTTCTTTAATTTCTGTACAAATTCTATAGTTTTCACTGTTTGGGTCATTATTCCTACTTGATATCATTATTTCCCTCCTGATGATAGTGTTTCATATTATTGATACTATATGTAAGTGGTATTCTCAATTTCAATATCTGAGTAGAGAAATACTTGTGTGTGTGTGTGTGTGTGTCTGTGTATGTGTGTATTGATCATTATATTAGTCTCTTTGGTTTTCCACAATAAAATATGATAGACTGGTTGGCTTACATAACAGAAATTTATTTTCTCATAGTCCTGGAGGCTAGAAAGTCCAAGACCAAGGTGTTAACCTACTCAGGTCCCAGAAGAGCTCTCTTCTGGCTTGTAGATGTCCACCTTCTTGCTAAAACTTCATATGGCCTTTTCTCTCTTTGCATGAAGTGTTAAAGTCCTCTGGTGTTTCTTCCTCCTCTTAAAAGGGCACCAGAACTTTCAGATTAGGACCTTGCCCTTATTAAGTCAGTTAACCTTTTATCACCCTCTCACAGAGACTATTTCCTCTCACAGAGCCTATCTCTGTGTATTTATTCTTTGATCCATGGCCTTTTTAGAAGTATGCAATTTCTTGTCCACATATTTGGAAATTTTTCAGAGATCTTTCTGTTACTAATTTCTAATATAATCCCATTGTGGTCTATGACCATTCTTTGTATGCCTTGTATGTATGCCTTTATTGAGACATGTTTTATAATTCATTTGGTTTATTTTGGTAAATGTTCTGTGTATACTTGAGAATGATGCATATTTTCCTTTTTTTTAGTAGAATGGTCTACAGTATCAGTCATGTCAGGTTGGTTGGTGGTAATGTTCAAGTCAATTATATTTTTGCTGATTTTTGCCCATTTAGTCTATCAATTATTAAGAGGTATTAAAATACCAGACTGTAAGGGTGGGTTTGTCCATTTCTCCTTTAATTTCTTTTTTACTTTATCTTACTTATTTATTTGAGAGAGAGAGCATGAGCTGGGGGAGGGGCAGAAGGAGAAGCAGATTCCCTGCTGAGCTCGACATGGGGCTCAATCCCAGGACCCTGCGATCATGGCTTGAGCCAAAGTCAGATGCTTAACTGACTGAGTCACCCAGGCGCCCCTCTCTCATTTCGTTTCTATCCTTTTTGTTTTATATATATTTTGAGGCTCTTTACTAGGTGTGTAAACAGTTAATATGGTTTAGGATTGTTATGTTTTTTTGATTAATTCAGGATCCTTCATTATGAAGGAACTTCTTTATTCCTGGTAATGTTCTTTGCACAGAAATTTACTTGTTCTGGTATTAATATAGCTACTCTTACTTTCTTTTAACTGTTATTAACATGGTATGTATTTTTGTATACTTTTACTTTCTAAAAAATGCATTTTCTTAATTTTTAGAGAAATTTTAGATTTACAGCAAAATAGAGAGAGACATGCAGAGATTTCTTTTAGCCCACTGCTTCAGTACATGCATAGCCACCACCATCACTGACATCATTCACCAAGGAGCACTTTTTTTTTTTTTTAAACCAAGGATAAACCTGCATTGGAACATTACAATCACCCCACACATTCCACAGTTTAACTTAGGGTCCACTCTTGGTAGTGTGCATTCTGTGGGTTTGGATAAAGGTTTATTGTTGTCAATATTTTAGATATTGGCCATTCTAATAGGTATGTAGCAGTATCCAATTGTTGTTTTATAAAGATTTTATTTATTTGACAGACAGATTTCACAAGTAGGCAGAGAGGCAGGCAGAGAGAGAGAGAGGAAGAAGCAGGCTCCCCGCTGAGCAGAAAGCCCGATGCAGGGCTCGATCCCAGGACCCTGGGATCATGACCTGAGCTGAAGGCAAAGGCTTTAACCCACTGAGCCACCCAGGCGCCCCTCCAATTGTTGTTTTAATTTGCATCTCCCTGAATAGGAAATAAGATGTGGAGCGTTGTTTAATATGCTTACTTGGCATCTGTATATCTTTGGTGAGGTGTCTGGTAAGGTCTTTGGCCCATTTTTTAATTATGTTGTTTTCTCATTGTTGAGATGTAAGGAGACCTTTGTAAGAGTTATGACCCCTTGGAGTATCCTGCCTAATAAGAGTGTCTTTGTAGGGGCGCCTGGGCGCTCAGGTCATGATCTCAGGGTCCTGGGATCAAGTCCCGCATCGGGCTCTCTGCTTGGCGGGGAGCCTGCTTCCCTCTCTCTCTCTGCCTGCCTCTCGGCCTACTTGTGATCTCTCTCTCTGTCAAATAAATAAATAAAATCTTAAAAAAAAAAAAAAAAGAGTGTCTTTGTATGTCCGGTGCTATACCAGATAGCTTATACTAAATGTGATTTATGCTAAATACCTGTTTTTCATGCTTAAGGCTTTGGGCAACCTTTGTATCAGTTTGAACTCCAGGAGATGGGTCTGAATCAAGGTTTACTGGGCTCTTCATGTTGGCAACACTTTGCACATGGGAAAACTAAATGTTATCCATGTGACTCAACTAGGAGAAGACAACTGGAAGCTTACTATCCTGCATTGAGTTCTGTATACTTTTTCTCCTGACGCCCACCTATGTACCTCTTCCCTTTGCTGATTTTTGTCTGTATCTTATTGTGTAATAAGCCTTGACTGTGACTATACCAGCTTTTCTGAATCTTGTGAGTCCTTTGGCAAATCACTGAGTCTGAGGTGGTCTTAGGGACTGAAATACCTTTTTTTTTCTGGATTTTTTAAAGTTCTTATTGTGGGTGTGCTATAATTTCACTGGAGTGTATACATAAAGAGATTAATATTTTATTTGCTGTTGGCTTTTTGTTCTTTACTTTTTATTTTTATTTATTTATTTTTAAGATTATACTTATTTTTGAGAGAGAGGGAGCGAGAGAATAAGCAGGGGAGGTGGGGAGAAGGAGAAGCAGACTCCTCACCAAGTAGGGAACCTGAGATGGATCTCAATCCCAGTCCCCTAGGATCATGACCTGACCTAAAGGCAGACACTTAACCCACTGAGCCACCTAGGTTCCCCTGTTCTTTATTTTTTAAAGATTTATTTATTTATTTTGGAGAGAGAGAAAGTGCAGGGGGAGGGCCAGAGGGAGAGGGAGAGAGAAAGAGAGAGGGGGGAAAAAATCCCTGCTGAACGCAGAACCAAACGTGGGGTTTGATCTCAAGACCCTGAGATCATGACCAGAGCCAAAAATCAAGAGTTGGATATTTAACTGATTGAGCCACCTAGACACCCCTGTTGGATTTTCATTGTAATGTTGTTTGGGATATTAGTCTTTCTGAATGTGTGCACTCATGTTTCTCATCAGTTTGGGAAATTTCTCAGCTATTATCTGTTTTATTCTTTCTGGGATGATAATTAACATATGTTAGACATGTTTCTATCCTCTGTATCTTTCAAACTCTCTTTAATATTTTTCATTTATTTGTTGTATTCTGGGTAATACCATCAGTAATTCTTTAGTTGTGCCCACTTTGCTGCTTAAGTCTTCCATTGAATTTTGTATTCAACAATTTTATTTTTCATTTCAAGGTATTCTAGTTGTGTCTTTTTCACATCTGCTTTTCAGTCCAGATAGTTTCTTGTTTGCTCATCCATGAGATTTCAATTGTTATTTCTTTAATCATTTCATACATTGTTATTCTACTCTGATTTGGCACTTCTGATATTGGATGTTCTGGGGGCTTAACTCCCCTCTTTGATATTCCTGTACAGTCTTATACATGGTAGCTTGATTTCTTATGAATTTGTTACTTCCTTTATTGTTGTTATAATAACATGAGAGGATGAAGTGAACTGTATTTTGCCCATTATTTCTGCTTCGAACGGTTCTGAGCTGAATCTTGAAGAATGACTCTGATTCTGACCCTGATCATTTATTTCCTTGCTCCTACTTGATAAGAATCCTATATGCCTATAATGGGGATCCCATCCTCGTAAGAGGATATGTATCTGTTTCTACTACAAAAGCTATAGCTAGGGTTGGGTATCACTCTCAGACCGCTTTTGCTCCCTTAAGGATTTTGGCTTAGTACCAGAATCTCATGTTGCAGAATTCCCTTCTTCCTCCTGACCCATTTAAAATGTTCTTGTCTGAGCCAGTCACTGTTCCCAGGCACATAGCATATAGTGATTGGCTGGGCTGGGTTTTAAGGCTTCTTGGTGCTCAGAAGTATTATCAGCTCCACCTGAACCATAAGAAAGGAGTGGTCTGCAGGCTGGGAGAATGTGTAGATTCTCCCAAGAAAACTCTGGTACCGTTCCATACTGGAAGAATAGAAATGATGCTGGGCAGAAAAATATCAGATGCCCATCACAGAAGAAGATACGAATTTTAAAGTAGAAGTTGTTTCTATATAGGCTTTACTTACAGTGGGAGGAGCCCTCGGTAAATACATATGTCTATTTGAGTTCTAAGAAACAAGGTATGTCACTTTTGGAAGACACTTATTTCTTTATTCTTTTTTTTTTTTAAGATTTTATTAATTTATTTATTTGACAGACAGAGATCACAAGCAGGCAGAGAGAGAGAGAGAGGGGAAGCAGGCTCGGGGCCAAGCAGAGAGCCTGATGCGGGGCTCGATCCCAGGACCCTGGGATCACGACCTGAACCGAAGGCAGAGGCTTTAACCCACTGAGCCACTCAGGAGCTCCAAGACACTTATTTCTTTATTCTGAAGTCTGTCTGTTTGATTGGTGGTTGTCAAAATTCATTGAGTTGGGAAACCAAGGAAATCTAGTATATGGCTCGGAATTAAAATAAGTTTATATTTTAATTCAGTAAATCATGTAAACTTGTTCTTGCACTTTGGAGTGCTTGAATCTCAACTCTTATCATTACGCTCTCTATGTCCTTAAATAAGATATCCAAATTCTCTGAACATAATTTTCCTCATTTTACAAATGGGGATGATATAATCTTCCCTGTTTGGTTCTTGTGTGTATTAAATAAACAAATGTTTAAAAACCATTTCATTAGTGTCTAGAGTGGAGTAAGCATTTCATAAATGCTTTCTATCATTAATATGTATGAAATATGGATGTTGAAATGATATGCCGTTGAAATAGAACAGCATACAAATACAATACCTGGAAGAATTATGTGCTGTCTGCTTTTCTTTTTCTTTTTCAGATTCCTTCAGATACGTCAGAAATATGTTGTATTATTAGAGCAACACCAGGAACTAGACAAATGAAGAGTGAAAGTAATGTTATTGTAAAGAAGAAGAAATATTCCCCACCCAAAGATATTCCTCAAGGTACTATAATGTGAATCCAGAGCCTACTTTTTGGATGATAGAAAATATTTTTCCATTATAAATTCCTTATGCACACAGGAAGTCCACTTATAAATTGTATTCTAGGAGTTCTTATACAATTACAAGAAGTTTGGTTAGGTTTCAGAACCTGAGTAAAATATTTTTTTGAATGTCAGATATTTAATCTTTCAAAAAGTTAGCTTATGCCATTGATCTAAATGAATTTATCTAGGATAACTTTTCTTACAACAGTTTGAAATTTATTATTGTTGGGTTTCATTTTTAGTAGAATTCTTTGTGAAAATATTCTTCATATATTTTTGCATTCACTTATTGTTGGTTGAATACTTGCTCTGTAAAAGGCACCAAGCCAAATATTTTATCTCATTTATTTCTCACTACGACTTTATAATAGGCAGATATGTACTATTATCCCTGTTTTATATGTGAAGAATCTGGAGCTTAAATTAGTATGCAATTTGTCCAAGATTCTACTGCTGGTAGTAGAGAGGAATTCTATCTTTTGGGGCTTTTACACTCCAAGTTTAGGTTTTTCTGTTCTCCTGATTATATATCAGACAGAATGTCTGATTAGTCATTGGAGCCTGGGAACATTTATGAGTAAGCGGGCAGTGATGCAGTTGAAATTTAATAGGTTATGTACAACTTCAATCCACCTAAACTGTCTACTTTTGATCCTTGTCCCCATTTCTGACACAGAGCCTACCCTGAGCACTCCCTAAGTCCACAAAAGTTGTCTTTTTTCCTAAGTTCCTTAAGTACTTAATTCAGAGCTACTCATTTGACATTTACTAAGATATTACTACCTCACATAATTCATAATACTGACTTATCATATTCTTTAGGTTAGGAAGTTTTCAAAGACAGGGACCACATAATAGACTTTTTTCTATCTCTTATCTCTTGGTGACATTAGCATGGTGGTAGGGAAGAGTAGATGCTGTATCAAGGTTTTCCCAAAAAAGTAGAACCAGAGGGTTATTTCAAAGCATTGACTTAGGCAGCTATAGAGTCTGGCTGAAAACTGTAGGGCAGGCTGGAAACTCTTGAGCAGGAGTTAATGATGCAGTCCTTAGGAGGAATTTCTTTTTTCTCTGAGAAACTTCGGTTTTGTTCTTAAGGCCTTTTAACTGATTGGATGAGGTCCACCTACATTATCAAGGATAATCTCCTTTGCTTAAAGTCTATTATTATAGATGTTAACCTTATCTACAAGTAACCTTCACAGCAACACCAAAATTAGTATTTAATTTAATTGGTTAATATAGCCTAATCAAGGTGACATATACAACTAACCATCACAGTCTACTTCATGTCAACTATGTATTCATACACAGGTCCTTAAACCACAATTAATCTGTAAATAAAGAAAGTAACAAAGTTATACTTCTAACATAATACAGCTGTCCTATCCTATATACAACCCAAAATGTGCTAATTCCTTCCCCAGAAGAGGATGCAAAATCCTTGGGTGGTATTTATTCCTTTTCTTGATATCCTGTGACTCAAGTACTATGATAGAGAGTAATTATTAGTACATTTTATGTTAGTTATAGGAATAAGAGTGGGAAGCAAACAGGTATTTGCTTAAACTAGTTAGGTAGAAATAACTGGTATTTATAACTACCTTCCTCTATTTCATATTCCCTCTTCCTTCAGCAAGAACCTCAACTGGTCATAGTTCTTAAGCTAGTGGGGTACTATCAACCTCATTTCAGTAGGGTCTGGGCCCTTAGTCCTGGTTGGATTGGGTTGTTGTAATTTTCCATTGACCTTAATCTCAGGGCATAATACTACTAAGGGATGTCCTAAGGAATCTCCTGTATTCCAGAAATACTCTTCCTTGCCTCCATTGCAGGGAAAATTTCGCTTGAGTGGTCAGGATCAGTCATCCTGGCCCGCATAGTAATTCCCTTCTTTGCTTGTTATTCAGAGGCCTGAGGAGCCCAAAGCAGCCAGGTGGCAGTCTTATCTTCCAGTTCATTGGAATCATTGCTGTCTCTCTGTGGAAGCATTGTCCCTTTGAAACTAAGACCCCTAGGCTAGCAGAGCAAGGCCTGTCATGGAAACAGGAAGCAAAAAAGTTTTTCTAGTAGATTACTAGAGATGATATTGAATGATCTCACTTCCATCTCCACTTCTTGATTCCTGGACCTGTGAATCTTGGATGTGGGAGAAATAGCACCATATATTGAGTGTTGAATCAGGGCATATACAAGATTCTGAGAACCTTGTTTCAGCCCTGCAAGGTATTGCTGCCTACAGGGTGCTTTAACTGAGTCTTCAAAAGGCCACTCCACTATTCTGCCAAGTCAGCTGCTTCAAGATGGTGGGGAACATAGAAAGACCAGTGAATTCCATGAGTTTGGGCCTCTTGTCACCTTCTTTCGTGTGAAATGGGTTCTTTTTTTTTTTTTTTAAGATTTTATTTATTTATTTGTCAGAAAAAGAGAGAGATCACAAGTAGGCCGAGAGGCAGGCAGAGGCAGAGGAAGAAGCAGGTTCCCTGCTGAGCAAGGAGCCCGATGTGGGACTCGATCCCAGGACGCTGGGATCATGACCTGAGCCGAAGGCAGCTGCTTAACCAACTGAGCCACCCAAGCGTCCCTGAAGTGGGTTATTTGATCAGAAGAAATGCTATGTGAGATAACATAATGGTGGATAAAGTATTTTCTAAGTCCTTGGATGGTTCTTTTGGCAGAAGCATTGCATGCAAGACAGGGAAATCCATATCCAGAATAAGTGCCTATTCCAGTAAGAATAAAATGCTGTCCCTTCCATGATGAAAATTGTTCAAGGTATTCAACCCACCACCTGGTAGCTGGCTAATCACTCCAGGGAATAGTGCCATACTGGCGATTTGGTGTTGGTCTCTGCTGCTAACAAACTGAATACTCACCAGTGGCTATAGCCAGGTTGACTTTAGTGAGTTGCTGAGCTCATGAATAACCACCATCCTTGCCACCATGGCCACTTTTTTTTGTTAGCTTATTGGGTGATAGCAGAGGTGGCTGGAGAAAGAGGCACAGAATGGGTCATCTTATTTACTTGATTATTAAAGTCTTTGTCTGTTGAGACCACCCTTTGGTGAGTATTTCAGGGGACACAAACCTAAACACAGATGGTTTTTTTTTTTTTTTTTTTTTTTTTTTTTTTTTTTAAAGAATTTATTTATTTATTTGACAGAGAGAGATCACAAGTAGATGGAGAGGCAGGCAGAGAGAGAGAGAGAGGGAAGCAGGCTCCCTGCTGAGCAGAGAGCCCGATGTGGGACTCGATCCCAGGACCCTGAGATCATGACCTGAGCCGAAGGCAGCGGCTTAACCCACTGAGCCACCCAGGCGCCCAACACAGATGTTTTTTGCCCATTCAGGGAGGTCTACCCATATACTTCTTTACTAAATCTCTCGTCATCAATTTTCCAGTCCTGTCCCTTCCACATCCCTAACTATCCAGCCAAACTATTGGCCACAGTCAGTGAATCAATATATAATCATGTATCTGGCCACTTCTAACAGAGTGAACAGTGAGGTGTTTTTCTTGAAGTTCTACCCATTGGGAGGATATACCTTCACCAGTTTCCTTCAGGGATGTCACAGAAAGGAGCTGTAGGTCCAAGGGTTGCCTGCATATCATGTAGAAACATCTGTGAACCAAGTCTGAGCTTTTTTCCCCCCTCAATCAGCTGATTGTGGAGAACTCCCCATAATGCCAAAGGTACAGTCTGGGAGAGAGAAGATAGTGTAGCAGTAGTACAGACAATGGACATATGGACCACATCCTCATCTAACTTACTCTTGCCTTTGGGGCTCGAGCTCAATTCCATACATATCATTTCTATCTGAAAATGCAGTGCTGTTCTGCACAGCCAACTCTGTGGCTTGGTACATCAGATTGTGTATAATTCATGGTTGGCAGCTCAGGTCTCATTGTAACTTGGTGTATCATGGTTAAATATTCAGTCTCTATGAAGGCCCAGTAGCAGACCAAAAACTGTTTCTCAAAAAGAGAGTAGTTATTCACAGAAAATGCTAAAGATTTGCTCCAAAATCCTAAGGACCTGTACTGTGATTCACCTACAGGATCCAAACAACATATATATCTCTCAATGACACTTAAAGCACCATTCAATTTTCTAGATATTATGGTACAAGTGGCAGAGCATCTTGCATAGTACCCTGGACCTGTTGTAGAACCTTCTCTCATTCTGAGGCTCCCTCAAAACCAGTAACTTTTAGGCACTGAGTAAATGGGTTGGAGTAGTGCACTCAAATGAAAAATGTTGACTCCCAAATCTAAAAAGGCCCACTAGGCATTGTGCGTCTTTTTTGGTTGTAGGAAGAGCCTGATGCAACAACTTATTCTTTTCTTTAGGAAGTATATCTCTCATATCACTGGGCCCCTCCCTAGAAATTTCACTGAGGTTGAAAGAGACCCAGCAATTCCATTTCCCTGGACCATGGAGACCCAGCAATTCCACTTCCAAGAGTATATCCAACTGTAGTGTGTACATATGTTCATCAAAAGATGTTTGCTAGAACATTTATAGCAGCATTTGGATAATAACTCCAAATAAGAAATAATCCAAATGCCCATCAACAGTGGAATGGATTAATAAATAGTGGCACATTCATTCATTGGAGTGCTATATAGCAGTGAGAATCAACAATGCGCAGTTACATGCAACAGTATTTATAAATCTCACATAAGGACTCAGACACAATAGAGTACATATAACATTACTTATATTTAATACAAAGCTAGGCAAAACTAATCTATGATGAAAATCACCATAGTGGATGTACTAGTTAGGGAGGGGCTATTAACTAGAAAGCATTATGAGAGGAAGTTATCTAGGTACTAGATACTAGTACTAGGTACTAGTGGTATTTGTTCTGTTTCATTATCTGAATGCTGGTTAGATGGGTATAGTAAGTCTGTGAAACCCATCAAACTTTACAGTACATATATGCAAACTT